TTCGCTGCTGTCAGTCTACGATGTGTATTTCTGTAGCGACATTTCTTTTTCCAGATACAGGTCCGCTCAAATAAATAGTTCATTCGTGAAAACTGAGGCTGCCGCATTGTTAACATCACGACTCCCGTGACAGTATGAGGGCTGACAGCTGAATGTTTGAGATCCAACACCGTGACACACTACAAAACACTGTTGTAAGAAAGTAAGTGCGGCTGCACCAGGGAGAAATGCTCTTATCACACAATTTCTTTTTTATGAGAGTGCACCACATTGAACGGTTTACGAGCTGTAGAAGTACTTTACCTACGAGCTGTGCTTGCCGATAGCGGGCACGCCATCTATCACAACTGCGCTCTTAAATACGAAGTTCACAGCTGCTGCTCGAACAACCCACCTTTCTCCCGCGCCTTTTCATGCTTGTTCAAGACAAGTGTCACTTTTCTTTTCTGCTTGAGCATTCAGCGGCAGTTCCAACACGCAGCGTGATGCTAACGCATGCGCCCTCCAAGCTACGAAGATCGGCTGTCTCATTTAATCTCTGCTTAAGCAACCCTGATCACCCCAGCTTGCTCAATTTTATGCGCAGGTAGAATGTGCGATGCAGGGGGATGTTACCAACTTGTAGTTTAGGCGGAACAGGGTGACGATGGCGAGAACTCAAGGAATTTATGTAATTGCTATCGTAATAAAGAGCTCAGACCATCACCTCAAAGAAAATCCTCCTCGAAGGGAACCCGCAAAGCAGCATTACGCACGGGTGGCGTCACGGGTTAAACGGCGCAAACGTGGGTGCTGCGGTGAGCGCTGGAAAATTTGTTCGAAGCGATGGCTGGCATAGGTCTTGTAGGTGACACGTAAGACATGTGTTCAACACATACATTAGGCGTGTGTCAGGTTTATTGTACGTGAACCGACGAGTTGGTGGCGTAGTGAGTGGCGGTCGCGGCAGCTGCGGGTGCAATGGCGAGTGCTGGGCAGGCAAGAGAGATAGTGACGTCAGCGCACACTACGAGGGGAGCGCGACCTCCACATGCAGCATTGGTGTGACCTACTGGCACCGCCCCAACATTTGCAGCACGCGGTGCGTTCGTACAGGGGGACAGCGTTATACAGGCTAGTCAGAGAGCTGAAAAAAATTTCACTTAATTACCTAGCACTGGCGTGGCAAGCTCATCTAATTTTCTTTGTGGTTCTCATGTCTGCTGTGGCGCTACAATGACTGGAACATAAGTTTTTCACATTTATTGTTACAAAACTCTATTGGTTTAGTATGAAGATAACATTTATTATATTAGCCCATTTCTATTGTTGAGTTGCTGTTCATGTTGGATGCGGTATTGTAAACACATTTTGAAGATTGTAACATTCTAACGTTAAAGGGTCACTAAATAGCAAAACGCTTTTTTCGTGTATTAGAAAAGTACAATTTCACAATCTTGAAAACGCCACTCTTATCGCAACACGACACTTGGTAAGCGAGAAAACGCATGAAAACGCTGTGGGTGGAGACGCCACTCTAAAATTCTCGCACCAAACATTGTGATGTCATAGAATTTTGAAGACAACTACTGGGTCCTACGTAGCCTGATTTTCTCCGCTATCAATGAACCTATGTCACTGAAACTTATCGCGTTAGAGTTCTAAGAGTGTAATTTGTGAATCTAAAACAACTCGCTGTTTCTCTTTAGTGTCCTTTAAGTTGTCTCATTCATATGAGGTCTAGTAGCTGTCCAGAGCGCCACTTATGTTATTTCTGTGAGTTGCTGCGCTTTCAGCTTGGATGTTGCCAGGTCAAATATATATGAATTTCTGGTAATTTTGGTTGCTTGATCAGCATTGCAAACTACAGAATTTTTTGTTTACCAGAGAGCAGAAATTATAATTAAGTGATGTGTGGCCCGAGAAGTCTGCTCTGAAACTAAAATTTGATACTCTAAAACACACCTTTTCCTGCTTCAGAGCTGCTCCAAAACTCCCTTTTTACTGCTCCAGAGTTGCTCCGAAACCGCATTATGTCTGCTCATAAAACTGCTCTAAGAGACTGCAGCCCGCTTCCGCCCTGACAAGTGCAGGACTGCTAAAAGGAAGGTGTGCTAAAAAAAATAAAAACGTACAGTCGTTCTTCCGATGCAATGCTTTATTCAATATGTGGGCATTCACTGTTCTTATTGTATTCACAGGGCTAATAAAAACTGAACGAAACAGTAAAAACGATGGGAGGAGAAAAGGGGGTGCATATTTCAAGCATCCCAAAGAAGGGAGGGGGCTGCTCCATATGTCATGGTATAAGAGACATGGAACGGTCTGACCCTTTCAGATGCCACCTACAAAGAACTGCTTCGTGAATGCATAAGATCTATACAAAGTTATTTTAAGGCACTCAATATCCCATTGCAACAAAAATTTAATATGTTAATCAAGTGTGTCACAGGAACTAATCTTAATTAAGTTGCAATAAATATCTTGATTTGGAAGTCATTGATGCCCCTTTTCAGCATAAATAGAATAAAATCTTGACCGAAAATGCACTTTCACTATATTTCCAGCTTATGTTCATTTCCGGCAGTGGTAAAATAACACTTTTCACATGGCTCGCAGGAAGCAACATGCTGAACGACACGTCGAATGTGGCAGTGTCTTGAGCAAATTGATCATATGCACACTGCTGCAAAATGAAGTAAATTGAATACATAATTATAATAAAGTAGGTTTCTCTCTCATAGCCCCTAGTTGATACATAGCATCTCAAAGGTCAGGGTTGCATGTGATAGAATGACTAATGAGGGATGTCACAAATTAAAATTGGTGTTACTTGCATGGATAGAGATGCTGTTCTAAAGTGCTATTTTCGTTTGTAACTACTCCGAAATAGCAAAGGGAAAATGAAGATATAGGGAGTTTTACTGTGTGACCAGCTCTTAATCATTAAAACAACCGATAACATATTAAAGACTATCATCCTAGTATGCTGCTCTTTTATGCAACAAAAACAGACATATGAAGCGTTTAGCTCATTTAGCTTTTTTTTTTCTAGTTTGATATGCAGGCTACTTTTGGTGAAATAAAAATGACAGTGATCGCTTTGGTTTTATGCCGATTATTACTGCTGTTCTGGCAACAAAAAATGGCAGAAAGTGAAGATGGAAGCTTACACCCTGTTTGGGGGGTATTGCATAAGGGAACGAATGTGGGGCGCTGGTAGTGAAGAGGTTAAAATATGCTACAAGACTGCAAACATCTCGTGTGTTGACATCTGCCCCCTCTTCGTCATGTATACTCTATCAATCATCCCTCTTGTCGCAGCAGCTGTGTCCTGGGTTACACAATGTTCACCTCGTGTGCATCACAGGACAGGGCTCCCTCCCTCATACTAGAGCGGGCTTCTCGGTGTGTACTGAAGAGGGCCTCACTGATGTAAGGAAGGCTGCCAAGGAATATACCAAGCCACATATTACCAGGCACCTAATTCAAGAACTAGGGTTTTTGTAGGTTTTTGTTGGTATTAACAACTATCTGCATAATGTTACACCAGTTTAGTACCACTTGACAAGTCTGCAGCCTCCCATGTCGAAGGTAGAGAATTTCAAGCCGGCACCCATGAGTACACACCACCAATGACTGACATGACGAGGTACACGGAGAACATAAGCAACACTATTTCATTAGTCCTAGAGGCAAATCAGCTGCCACACTTGGGGTCATTTGGATGGAGCCTTACTTGCCTTCTCAACTTGTATTTAACTCTAGCGTGCTCCACCAAAATGAAATTGATTTTTTAAAGACGCTATTTTGACCTGACTTGCCGTATATGCTCACGACTCCTTAGGAATTTGCATCATTTAACAGCTCTGCGCATGCCAAAGAAGTGCTTGTGATTGCCTGTTCCTTGGTCAAATTATTTGCGCTTTTTAGAGAACACCAGTCTGCACTGGACCATGAGGCAGGTGATGCATGATAAACACCGGTGTATTTGAGTTGACGCAATTAAGGTATAGAAGGCAACATTATGACCCATCATATCTAGTGTTATGAAGGTTTAACTTTTGTAAGCAGCATCATATGTGCGATGGAATTGTGTGCAAGCGTTTCCATGGTGCGGCGCTGTCAAGATTGGCACTCAAACTTGAAAAGCATTTTACAGCAAAAGCTTGCCAAGCTTTTGCTGTAAAAACGAAAATCAGTTCTGCAGCGTTCTCATGAGCAGTCTCTATTGGCTGTGTTATCAGTCAAGTCGCTTCCAAGCAGGTGCGCCATTGGCTGCATTGTGGGTGACGTCGTTGCAGCCATGGCGTCGAGCCCGCGTGCAACAGTTTCTTTTAAGACCTCCCCGCCGAGTTGGCTCGTGATGCCAAACGCTTACAACAATGCGGCGTCTCTGTGATTGCGGGAGTGTGTTCGCCTGGGCGAACTGCGCTTGTGGTAGGAGTTTCTCCAGCGGCACGTTGGCTTCGGCTGAAATGTCTGTGATTGTCTGTGGTTCAAGAAAAGCCACTGTGATTAACGCATTGTGAAATGCATTTAACTGCTCATTACATTCGTAATGGCTGAAATGGCCTTCCCCGTGACATTGCAGCCATCACGTGTTCATCAACGTTTGCGCAAAACATACATATTGTTTGTCAGAAGATCACTCTCTGTAACCTCCATTTGTTAACCCACCCCTTATGTAATACCCCCTCACCGGGGTCTTTAAAGTAATAAAGTGAAGTGAAGAAGTGAAGTCCATGACAATGATCGTGCGAGACACACTGTGCAGCATGTAAATAGACACTGTGGTAAAGCAGAGCGAAAGGTGTGTCTAATCTCATTAAGAAGCATGGACATGTGACCAGTAGTTGCGAATGCTTCAGTGCCACGTCGGGTAGAATTCATTGCTAAACACTAGGGCCACACGTTTCAGCTTTCGCTGATTAACCATAATATGTTACGGAGTGTTTTGGTGCATAATTTTTTTTTTCTTGTTTAGCTGTGTTCAACTGCTGGCATCACTTTGGATGCAGGTTGGAGCCCAACCCTTGTTGGCGACCAGTTCCAAGACAAGGGAGTTGTTTGGGCAGTGCCTACCTTTCGGGTCAGTGTGGAACGTCGCCTGATGCGGCGCATTTCACATCCGTTCTTCCGCATCAAGCCCAAGGACTACATCAAGAGCTGTCATGTGTGTGGCCACTTCCACTTGGCCCACACTACATGCGGTAGGTAGCAGCCAAAAAGGCGGTGGCCAGAAGAAACAGGTGCCAGTGCGAGTGGGTTTAATTTTAAGCATCAGGGACCGATAATTGGTGAGAAGGTGTGGTTAGATTTTTGTGGATGCGAAAAGATGTGAACTAAGTGACCAATTTAAGCATCTCTTTCGTGAGTAGAGTAGAACTAACAGCGGAGCTTTCTTTTAGTTGAGGCTTTCATGTCAGATTGGAAACGGGTAAGTGCCACTACTCATGACCAGCACCACTAATCCCAGTATTACTCCTCACATTTCATTCAACACCACTTTGTTGAAATCCCACTTTGTTGATATCCTGTTTATTCAATCAGCTAAAATAATTGGCAAAAGCGAAGGCTCCTTGTAAGCCAACAGCCTTGCCGTGACCAGCACACTTAATCACGGTGTGACTAAATGCGTGTTGCTGACTGTTGTCTGTAATAAGTTGGACTATTTTTCGCTCCTGATTAACCTTCTGAAGCCCGCTGTTGCTCTGGGCCAACAAGCCTAAAATTATTTTACTTTCCGCATACACACTTTGATACATGATACTTCTGGCACTATCTGTGGTAAGATGCAAAGATTACCAAGAGTATTGAGCTACAAACGATTACTTAGAAATAGATGCATTGCCATTTTGTAGTGTTTTGTTTCGGTGTCTTTATAGGAGGCACGTCAAGCTCTGCACAAGGAGGTAAATTTATTTGACGGCAGCGAAATGGGCTGTTACTGCGACATTTGCTAGCTTTAGGATATTCATGAGCACGCTGGATGGCGTGGCCACGAAGTGCAAGACAGAAATCCTTCCGCCAAAAGGGTTGTTGCTCACAAGCAACAGTGTGTACATGCGGAGGTGCAAGCAGATATAGAAAGTGTTTCACTGAACGTTTTATGTGAAGGAGAGCCATCATCATTATGAACCTGCACACACTATTCTCTTTTTCTACTTCGGTCCCAGAACACGTGTGCAGATTTGTCTGTCGTGGGAAGAGTGAGTTTAAACTTTAATTTTACAAAAAAAAGTTTGCTGGGCTCAACCTTGGGTTGTGCTCCTCAGTAGGGCCCCACTGCTTGCCGCGCTTCGTCATGACTAAAGAATCTATGGACTTTAGCCGAAAGTGGTCTCGAAATTGGTCCCTGCAATAATTCTCATGAGCTAGAGAACGAATATCGAAAGAGATGAAAAGAGATAGCGAGAAACGGAGACAAACAAAAAAAAAAGGAAAAAGGTACAAGTAAAAAGGGATTATACACAGAGAGAGCCAAAAATAGAATCACCAGCCCCAGTACAGTGAAAAATAGAATCAATGCAAGTTCTGTAAGTTCAGATACACATTTCTGTAGTGCGCTTAATGCAACATGCGCCTCATACCAGGAACCAAGCCGCAGTGGTTTCAAGGCCTTCTATGTGAGGTAGTTTCACAAAGGTCCAATGTTGCGCAGGAGCGACTCATTACTCGCCTATAAATAATCATTTTCTTTCTGACAGCTTTGCATATTTTCTTCTTTCTTTGTACATGCCACAATTTTCTTGATGCTGTGCACTGAAACAAAATTGTGTGCATCAAAGGGTCAACTGTTTAAATAGGCCACTTTAATTAACCAACTTTTGAAGCAACGAAGCTGGGCTAATAAGTTTCAAAAAGGAAGGTGAAAGTCAGGATACAAAATGTTTTATTAAGCAGTTTACAACTTTCTATTCATTAAGTAATAAGTGTTTTTCTGTTTATAACAGATGTTCTCAAAATATATATGTATATGTGATGCAATGTTGACTGGGAGACGTGGTCCGGCTCATGCGCCATTTTTACTCCATTTCGCTTCTTCCTCACTAACCACCACTTTTTTCGTACGTCACATGATTCCCCCTCCCTCTGAAATAATTCGCGAGTTACGAGCCAGGAAAAGTAAACTAGGAGAGGTTTAGAAGTCACGAATCTCACAATGCTCAATTAGTTGTATGGTCCAGTGAAGTTTCGTAAACTCGCAAAGACTTCAGGGCAGAGTGCAGCAGTCTGGTAAATGCTGGAGTTTTGGTGGGCGAGGCTGACTTGTGTTCTGACAGCATAAACATGTTTTGAGCATAGACAGTGGTGATAAAACAGCTTGCATTCTTGCGAAGAACGGACGATGTTGAAAGGTCTTGCAGGTTCGAAATTTCCGTCTTCATAGGCGTCACTGTTGGTTCTATGTGCGTGCTCGTTGTCGTAGCATGATAGGACGGTGCCTGAATCTTTGTGGGGTAGCAGTGGCGACTTGTTTTTTTTTTTGGTATTTGCTGAGGTATTGGTGCCATAATCGAAAGCACACTTCTGGCCTCTTGCGCAGAATGCGTTTTACAGCGAAAGCTGTTATCAGATCACAACTCGCGTCACGCGCAGTTGTCCGCCGCCGCCGCCCATGTCCGTAACCACATCGTGCAAAATTAGAAAAAAAAAGCCTAGCAGCAAAAATACAGTGGGGCTCAGAATGTAGGTTTGCTGCGTGCCAGTTCAGTATTCTACCACTGAGCTACGCCGGTGCTTGTGACTTGTTAGCAAGCCTAGCACCAAAGACACAGGGGGGCTGTAACCCGAGTTCGCTGGGTGCGAGTGCAGTATTCTACCACTGAGCTACGCTGGTGCTTGTTACTTGTTGGCAAACTTGCCTGAGCCAGGCTTGATATCAGTGAAAGCAACAGCGTTAATACGATTTATGAAGTGTTTTAAAACAGCGAAAGAACAACCAGTCGTTGCACAGTGCAAAGAGCGGAACGTGTGGGCCATCCAATGCTCCAACCTATTACAAAAGCTTGTTCTTGTTCCCCCATTAACTGTGGTGCATACCCACTTCAACCATAATTCCTTTTTTTGTCGTCCGACACTGCATGAACAATTGGCACGAAATTCCTTGCAAGTGTTTAGCGGATACCACGCTTCTCAGAAGAATGACGAAAAATAGCATAGCGGATGCTGGCCTACTACCTAAAGTTTATTATTAATGCCGTAGTGGGCATCAAGCAAGTGTGCTTGCAGCAGTTACCAACGAGTGTTTAGAAAAGGCTCTGAAAGGCGCTCTTCTAGCTTTCTCTGTCACTGTGCTGCATTTTCTGCGCAGGCCTGGCATTCTGATGACGATCATTCATGCAAAAATGCCTTACGCCTTGTATTGCTTTACTAGATTTGCTTCGTGATGTCGTCCTTCTTTGTGTGTCCGTTGGAGTGTCTCGAACTCTTGGCCTTGCTGTGGCATTGCTGATGTTGCTGTGGAACGTGCTGAGGTGGGAGCCCTTCATGAACATTGGCTGGTTTTCTCGGAAACTTGATGTTGTGTCCAGTAGGCAGCTGGTAGTCTGTAGGCTGTTGTCATTCAGTTTGGGCAGTGAAGGTAATCTTCCAGAGTTGATGAGAAGCTCTCTAGAGGCTTCTTCTATGCCGCTCCTTATGATGGCTTCTTGCGCCTGGCTGCGTGCGAGGTTCAATGAATGACTTGAAGAAGGAGTGACAGAAACTGATACGCAAGAAGCCAATCAATGAGCGAGCACTGAGAGGGAAAGTACTAAAATTCTGAGACTCTCTTCAGAACTGCTACTCAGCTCTTAGTGAGGAAACCAACCTTAGCGTAAATACAATGAATGATAATCGGACGAGTATTATTATCGAGTGTGCAGTGGAAGTTGGAGGCAGGGTAGTTAGACAGGACACTGGCAAGCTTTCCCAGGAAACGAAGAATTTTATTAAGAAGCAACAAATCATGAAAGTCTCAAGTACAACAGACAAAATAGAACTGGCAGAACTTTTGAAGTTGATTAATAGCCGTAAGTTATGCAATGTAAGAAGGTATAACATGGAGAGAATTGAGCATGCTCTGAAAAACGGAGGAAGCATCAAAGCAGTGAAGAGGAAACTTGGGATAGGCAAAAATCGGATGTATGCACTAAGGGACAAAGAATGCAAAATAACTACCAATATGGATTGGATAGTTAAAATAGCGGAGGAGTTCTACAGAGATCTGTACAGTAGCCGGGACAGCCACGACCTTTATACTATAAGAACTAGCAGTAACCCAGATGACACCCCACCAGTAATGATAGAAGTAGTCAGAAGAAAAGGTTTGGAAAGCATGCAAAGAGGCAAAGCTGCTGGTGAGGATCAGGTAACATGAGATCTGCTGAAAGATGGAGGACAGATTGTGTTAGAAAAACTAGCCACCCTGTTTACAAGGTTGTCTCCTGACGGGAAGAGTACCAGATTTTTGGAAGAATGCTAACATCATCTTAATAGATAAGAAAGGAGATGACAAGGACTTGAAGGATTACAGGCCGATCAGTTTGCTCTCTGTAGTATACAAGCTATTTACAAAAGTAATTGCTAATGGAGTAAAGAAAACATTAGAATTCAATCAACCAAAGGAACAAGCAGGATTTCGAACAGGCTACTCAACCATCGACCACATTCACACTATCAATTGGGTAATAGAGAAATGCTCAGAATATAACCAACCACTATACATAGCCTTCATAGATTACGAGAAGGTGTTTGATGCAGTAGAAATATCAGCCGTCAGATTTCGAACAGGCTACTCAACCATCGACCACATTCACACTATCAGTTGGGTAATAGAGAAATTCTCAGAATATAACCAATCACTATACATAGCCTTCATAGATTACGAGAAGGTGTTTGATGCAGTAGAAATATCAGCCGTCGTGCAGACATTGCGGAATTAGGGCGTCGATGAAGTATATATAAACATCCTGGAAGAAATCTACAGGCGATCAACTGCTACCATAGTGCTTCATAAAGAAAGCAACAGAATACCAATCAAGAAGGGTGGAAGGCAGGGGGACACAATCTCCCCAATGCTATTTACCCCATGCTTACAGGAAATTTTCAGAAGCCTAGAATGGGAACGGTTAGGTATAGGAGTTAATGGAGAGTACCTTAGTAACCTGCGCTTCGCCGATGACATTCCATTGCTGAGTAACTCGGGAGACGAATTGCAACTCATGAT